TTGCTTTAACTGCACAGCCTGCAATCGTTCCTTGGACTCGACAAATTTAAACGATGCACCGGACGGTGAAATTTATTGCAGGGGTTGCTACAACAGAAATTTCGGGCCTAAGGGTGTCGGTTTTGGCATGGGCGCGGGTACACTAACGATGGCTTAAAATTTTATCAAAAATTAATCAACATTCGATGCGCGTGCACATACACATATACATATTACACATATATACATATTTATACATATTATACGTACATAAGACATCATTGACAAGAATTTGTCAAGTAAACGATAAATTAATTTCATCAGTTATTAACAGGGACTTATTACGAACATATTAACAATTTTATCGTTTTTTTTCCTCCAAATTTAATCACACGACAAACAGATCTACACGTATCTTTACACAACACTATCGATATAAACAAATGATAAAGTTACGAGAATTTCGAAATTGGTAAATTACGAGCACTCTAATCTCAAAAAAGAGAAAAAATATATTAACACGTTCCTTTACCCTCCCCCTCGCGCCCATCACAATCGTTTCGGTCATAGCTAGAAAACTATTATTATATGGAACTAATAATAATACTTCTAACGCGATATTATCAAATAATATTAATAATAATATTAATAATAACAATAACATATAATATTACGCATACAAAATATCGTTTAGCTTAAAAATATCTTTTGAAAATATTATCATCATTTTGCTTTCACTTTCAAGCTGGAAGAACGAAAACGAGCGAACGAACGTTAAGATGCAATGAAATAATTATTTACTCGTATATATACATATATATGTGTGTATATATACATATGTACATATATATATATATGTATATAAACGTCGATGATATAATCGAATAAAACGAACTTTGTTAATTAAACAAAGTACATGAATACTCAAACAGAATATCCTTCTTTTTAATGTTGAGAATTGTTTAATCAATTCTACAAATTCGAAATAAGAAATGTTTTCCTTCGAATATTAGAGTTTTAAAGAGAGGGATGCGAGGATGACTATTATTTACATTTAACACACACTAAACGCACATTCCAAATCTTTCTATCATGTGCGCTATTGTGCGGTTATATGTGATCATAGAACCTTGTGTCACTGCCTATCACCGAAAGTCTTTTGCTTTACGAGTTATAAATATAACAAATAATAATAATAATAATAATAATAATAATAATAATAATTAGGGGAGTACTTTTAAAAAAAAAAGAAGTAAAAACGTTAATTGTTAACGTTTATAAATTACACCTCCTCCCCTCTTACTTCGATAGAAAGGACTTTCGTGTTAATTAAAGGTATTTGCTTGAGAGTTAAATAATTTAATAGGTATTAAATGTACGTGATTTAAGAAAGAGAGTAAGAGAGAGAAAGAGAGAGAGAGAGAAAGAAAGAGAAAGTGGGAGAGAGAGAAAGAGAGAGAGCGAGAGAGGGTGAGAAAGGACCATTTATAGGCAAAATGTTTTAATCCATAGTTATATAATATGTAGGAAATGCAAATTTTAATGGAAATATATTATCACCTGTGCGCGTGTGTTTGTGTGTGTTTTATTACAAACCTAACACACAACGAACATTGAACTTATACATACAGTACAATGTGGTACGGTGCGATCGAACGAAATTTCTATATTAATGTCTATAGTAAAAGCATATCTCGATCGTGTTAATCAGGATAAAAATAAATCATGTAAATCGACTGGAAAACTAAATCTTACATTATTGTAATCTTCAGTGAATATATATATCTATATATATATATATTCGAAAATAAATTGATTGGTAAGAATACTTTTTCAACCCTTCGAATTATGGTCCTATGAAATGGGGTCTTTAGTGACCAACACTTACAAGTTTTCTTCCTGCTATTCCAATACCATCACTATATTCACTTTTCAAGTTTCTATAATAAGATATATCCTACGTTTAAATATAATTTTGATTTGAAAAAAAAAATATTTAAATAAATTCATATACATAAATTAATGAATAATTGTGTAGTAATGAAATAAAAAAAAAATAAAAACGGATACATGCTATTTTAAAATTAAACGTCGTTACAGAGAGTTAATTGAATTGAATAATTAATTTGGTAAAAGCTTAATGGTATTAATACATTAATTATTAACAAATTTGTAAAGACAATTAAATTTGGAGAATTTTATTATTTTTTTTTTGTTCGTCAACAAGTAGGTTTTATTTTTCATAAATACTTTCTATTTATCTTTATTATTAATTCATACAAAAATCTCGGATAAAATTGATATATGAGAGTTATCGTATAGAATTTTTTATATCTCGATATAAATTAAAATAGTCATTGAATAATTAACAAGGACAATCAACGAACAATTACGCTTCGACTGTGATATTATCGTTCGTTACGTTCACAGTTTCCTTCTTTTTTATCCACTATAGAGTTGGCTTATGTTAGCCTGCATTTTCAACCGAATCCACCCCGCTCGCAGATGGCGCATTTTCAACCCCTAGAATCACGAATCTTTTTGAACACAGATGGCAGCTGTTGCATGTCTTGTAGAAAAAATAAAATTATAGTTAAAAAATATTATTTAATATTTCACAATGTTCGAATATTATTATTATGATCATTTTATTTAACCAACTTTTGGAAAGCTCGTTGTTGTAATTGTTTTATGAAAGATTTGTTTAATTTATAGTACTTACATTTTGATTGACTTTTAAACAAAATAATTTCCAAATTTTCTGATTTTTATGTTAGTAAAATGAAATATAACAAAAATAATGAACACGAAATTAAAAAAAAAATGTTAATCAACGCGTTTAATCTTGGCACAAGTAAATTTTTCCTTTTTGCAAGTTTGAATGAGATTAATGTGGACATGGATTAATGATCGAATAAATGAAATCGATGTAAATTAAAACGTGAATTATTTCTTCGTTACTTATACATAACAAATAATATTTTTATACAAATAACAATCATTTGAAAAATAATGAAAAATTTCGAAAGAAAATATTATTGTTAGAGACAATAAAACATTTATCCATAAGAAGTAACTTGTGATAATAAATAGGAAATATTTAATAATGAATATAAATCATATTAATTATAATATATTTATTACAAGTTTTTAAATAAACATTCTGCCTCCGATGTACACATAAATAATTTGTATATTTCGCATTCTGCACATTCTTCTCTCTGAGTTTCTCATAACTGTGTACATTAACACACATCGTGTTATTTTAATAATATATATATATATTTATATGTATATCTTACCCATAGAATTATTATACCTAAGTATAGAGCGATTTAGTTATCCTTAATCTTAAATGATAATTCAATATACAGAGTTCACGTTATTATACACGTTATTTATTTACGTTCTCACATTTTTTTTTCCGATAAATTTTCGATCTATCCGATAGATCGAAAGTCATAAATACAAAATCACATCATCCCAAAATGTTTCTCATACATTTTCAGAATATTAGAATACGCGCTAGCTTTAAAAACGGGCACACACAAGCCCGTTAGTTATTTAACTGGTAAATCCAGATAGACGTTTCGATTCTTATCAATATTTTTCTTTTTTCTTCTTTTTCTTTTTTTTTTTATTTTATTTTTTGTTTCTTTGATCAAAAAAACATGTAAAATTTCTAACCGTATTTTCCTATCGGATAACGGATTTTCGATTAATTCATTTTGGGCAGGCGATAGAGGATGGACGGTTGTATACAAGTGACAATGGAATCAAAATTTATATCTAATTTTGTTGTTACATGGGTAGCTTAGTCAAATATAGTTTGTCAAGTATAGTTTAGAATATAAATAATTTAATGCGAAGGACAATGATCTAATAATATCGTTTTTTTTTCTTTAACATTACTCTCATTGTATTTTTGTCTATCAAGACGTGTAATATGATTTAAACAAAAAACAAAAGAAATAAAAAATACAAAGTTTACAATTCCCATCGATCCTACCCATCGGTTTGTTTTTTAGTAATATACGTTTGTCACAGTTAGGTAATATTCATTGAAATTAGTTGAGGACGGCTGTCGCATTTATGTTTAGATTATCAAGGACGCAGTAATTTATCTCTCACATTTTTTTTCTCTCTCTTTCTTTATTCTTTAAACTCGTCATTTGCAATAATTCGTGGCATAGATTAGAAATGGTTTTTAGATTTAGTGCAACAATATACGATCTAAGGTATACGTGCAAACTAGTATTTGTTTTCATAAAATGTTAGATAATATAATGGAATCAGAGTCGTATGGCAATTTTGTGTGATCATTTTGCCAATAAAAAAAAAAGAAATTAAATGAAGAAGAATGTTTGTTAACCCTTTGGTTACTAGACTCTCCCTCCCCCCCCCCATCACCCTGAATATATAGATTTAGAAAATTTGTAATCGACGTTAATTCACAGTTAATTTATTTTGTTAAAAGGACGAATCAAGACATTGTTTGTTGAGAGAAATCCAATTTTAAATGGACTTTGAACAATCGTCGTAAGTTAATTCTGTACAGGGGACCGCCATTATTGCTTCTGTTGGTCATCTACACATCTATCTAAACCTTAAGAAAACTAACGTTAAACAATGATCGTGTATGATTAAATGTTCAATTCACCAATTTAACTATTTCACCCTTCGCTCGATTTACTCAACGATATTTTTTTTACAAATGGGCTATGGATAATATCCTAACGTACCATTTCAAGAATCCTAAGGATAAAAATCCGTGAATAACAAATTAGTTTGTACCTATTAAATCGAATATCATTTTGGATAGTCATCGATTACGCCGGATATTTTATTATAATTGTAATTCGTGCGAACTTATTTCAAAGTCATATTTTATCCGAGTATTACCTACAACAAAGTATTTTTCTTTTCTTCTTTTTATTTATCGATTCACGATTTACATCGATATATTAATTGTATAAAAGAAAACAAAAAAAAAGAAAAGAAAGAAATATTTGCAGCACGAAATGAAACGATCGATCATATATTTTTGGTTCAAACCCATCCGCAAGTTTAATATGTAACGGTGAACTTCGAAAAACAAAATAACTATCAACAATGTTCCCAAAAGTCTGATATAATAACAGGGTAACGAATCGAACTCGTTGCTACAAGTGTGGTCATTAATAATAACTTCCATATACATACATATATATTTGAATTGTCCAATTATTTGTTAATATCTTGGAAATCGCTTGAATCTATACAGTTTGTCAACGCATTTCAATAATAATAATAATTTTGTGAGATGACGTCATAAATCTTTTTTCAAGCCTAGGACCGAATTCAAATGAATTTCTAAAAAAGAATTAAGATTGTTAATGACCACTCTTGAATTTACATATCACACAGATAATTCTCGTCAACCAGTCCGATAAAACGATACTCTTATATATTTACACGAATTTGTCGGCTTACCATAACCTTCTAAAATAAATAAGAAATTAATAAAGATTTCCGGTTTTCAAAGGTAGGGGATCCAACAAATAAGAAGGTAACGCCGTGGAGAAAGGTCTTGGACTGCATGAACCCCACGTACCACCTCCACTGTTTGCACGAACGCTAGGTGAGCTATTTTCTCCGTTACCGTCTGGCGTATGTTTCGCATTAACCAAATTAGGATTGGCGACAGGCTTGACTTCGTTCGATGGTAAGACACTACCGTTCGAGCCAACCGGTGGTGTCGCAGGACTTCTTGGAGAACGTCCCTCGGCTTTCACATTTCCAGCAACTGGACTTGAAGCACCACTATCACCACCAATTCCACCTTGGGACGATGATTTTTGTTGGGCCAGTCTTTCCTGTTTTCGAAATTTTGCCCGGCGATTTTGGAACCATACCTGTAACATCAAAAACAAAAGGAAAAAAAGAAAGTAATCCGATAAAAACTTAGAGAGAGAAAAATTGGTTAGAAAAGTACAACTACAATGGTCGATTCCAATCATCGTTCTGAGCGTATCTGTACAGAGACAGGCTACGTTCGATATGCCCTCTTTTCCCAACGAAAATTGGGAAACGGGTGATGAGCAGTCAACGAACACATCAACCACCGACGTTTTTTAAAACACTGTATACGCGTACGTACCGCCAGAAAAGAGAGAAAGAGAGAGAGAGAGAGAAAGAGGAAGAGGAGGACCATGCAGCACGCGTAATTGGCTCTAGTTGACCAAACGAAATATTTAACGAATAAAACAAACGGAAAGCGGTGCCGACCTGCATGTTAAAGCAGGGGATTTATTTGCTTTAGCATTTGTTTGACCGGCAGAGGAGCTACCACCCACCCTCCCCAAAAACCTACCCCTACCTTTAGTTGTGTATATATATATCTATATATATATATATATATATGTATATATACGCTAGTTGTGCTGCTTCCTCACGTGGATTCAACCCCCTAGAATTTCCAGAGACGAGAGAGATAGAGAGAACGTAGGAGGGTGAGGAAGGATTCACGGAGGAAGAGGCACGGAACACCATGATGAACGTGATTGCCCTTTCCGGACGGCAAACACAGCTATTGGATTTTTATCAGCTACTGTGCCGCTTGTGCCGCTTTTACCGCTGCTGATACTACCACTGTCATACTGGTGTTAGCCCGATGGCGTTGATAAGGGGGTGGTATAGCTTATTCGTAGGAGGAATGAAATATGAGAGTAACTTTATCACTTTTTTCCAATTTTTTTTACTTTTTCAATAAATTTTTATTTTATCATAAAAAGAAAATAATATTTTTCACGTTTCAATATCCTTATATATTATATAATATAATTCAAACGGATAAATAAAAAGTTTGAGGAAGTGTGATCAAAAATGAGATAGTTTAGTAGCCCGGCTTATTGTTAGCCTAGGACGTTTTGAGAAGTCCTGTGTGACATGTGTGCCACTATTTACCGAATCAACGACGGTGGTAAGCGCCTGGGGAATCTACGCGACGGCGTTAATGTTAAATAAATATACTCTTAGTTAAATAAAATGTAACAAGCCTCTACCGAGACAGATGTTCATCTCGTTCTAGATAAATATTTCATCACTTTTTATTCAGACCAGTCACTCGGAGAATCCCCATCTTCTTTCTTGCACCTCTTAGTTTATGTAACCAACCCTCATTTTTTTTCTCCTTATTCTCATCTTTCTCGCACACTCTCTTTTTTCCTTTTTCGTCTTGTGATAAAGACACACGTATTTACGTATGCATATATTTATTAACGTATTTACGATGTAAAGACACCTTTGCATGCCAGATTGAAAGATGAGGATGGATTAGGGGGCAGGGGACACATTTACACTTGTACTTTCACCCTTTCTACTATTACCCTTATTCACCCCTTTTCTATTGGTATGCTAGGCTAGACAATGTGCGGAGATGTGGCAAACACGATTCCTACCGTGCTTTGTCCGTCGGCTTAACATCAGAACACACACACACACATAAACGGAGTCGTGATTTTTTTTCGCTCTATTAGACTTTTCTACACTCGATTGGTTAACCTTGGTCATACTTACAATGAGTAAATTATAGTTGTTTAATACACTAGAAGCTTTTCTTTCATTCGCATTTGCTCAATCGTGAGGATAAATTTTTTTTTTTTAATTTCAAATGACGTCAGAATCAAGGATAGAAAATTAATAATTCAAATCATTTTAAGAGATGAGTATATCAAACAAATATGAAGCAAAATTATCATATCGTTCTTATATTGAACAAAAAAAAATCTACCTAACTGATCTATACAAAGTACCCTTGCTCTACTCCAATAAGTTTCATTCTCAAATGAAGATTTATACTCTCGATTGATATATCTCCCGTTCCTAAAATTGTTGCTTCAATCAATGAGCAAGAATAAAAGGGAACCCCGCAAACTGACACATCAATATCAAACTAAGTGTATACATTTCCTCGGTTCCCTATAAGATCAGTTGTCAAGTTAATGGGAACCACTTGATTCCGATTTACCAAAGACCAATTTTCATCACTTTAACTAATTACAATTAAACGAAATAGTTCGATTACAATTGATAAAATGTTTAGATCAACAAAATTTCCTATTAATTCGATTTATTTATTTTTGTTTGACCGTCATAAAAATTATTATTAAAAATAGAGAACATCTGAAAAACATACGATTGGCAAAATAAACACATACGCAAATGTATATATGCAGAGATAGGAAAGAGAAAAGACAGAGGCATTCCCAGGTCTGTTACACCCTGATACATCCGAATCCAATAGTTCCTGGTACTATGTCCTTGGTATATGCTCCGCAGGACGGTTTTTAATCACTGTAAGTGGATCTACATAGGACTTGCAATTACCAGGGTATACGCCGGCATGGGCCCCTTGTGTATCAACCATTCCTTGCAGTGGCACCAGACAGGCAAGCAGGGTGAGTGCTTTCCCCATTTCATCCCATCGAACCAACCCCTCGACTCCAACTCCTCGGGTGGTCCCTTCTTCCATTTCCAACCGGCAGCTTCCTCTTTCTCTTTCTCTTACAAACACACAAACACACACATATACACACACATATACACACACACACATACAAACATATATATATATAGTCATACATCTATACTCCTACTTCTACTTGCTAGTAGCTAGCAAGCAACCCACCAACCCAACTATCTTTTCTTGCTCTCTTTCCCGGTGTCTATCTCTGTCTCTCTTTGTCACCTGCCTTTCCTATCCCTTCACGTCGCAAACGTTGTCTCGAACTTTTTCTCTCTCGATTCGACTTACTTCCTTCCTTCCTTCCTTYTTTTCGTAGACGATTCCTATATCCCATCGGGATAAAGAAACTCGCTAAATATTTCAAACACACTTCAGGCTATCCCGTCGGATAGCCAAAACGTTTGACTTCAAACTCTTTTACATTATTTTTCTTTTTTATATTTCAAATACTTAAACCATAACCAATCATTGAAACTCGATTTAATCTGATTTTTAACATCAATATCATTTATTCGATATTTTCAATTATTTTCAAACGACACGTTGATAAGTTAATTGATCTAATCGTTTTGATACTTTTGTAAAAACAACAACAAAACTGGATAAACGGATTTGATTATCTACATGTATTTATCCAATTGAATAAAATTAATCATACATCTCGGCAGTTGAAAATGATATTATCTCCATGTTACACCACGACACCGTATCCCATTGACCACACGCTGTCAGTCACGTGCCGACACGTTCCGCTACTTCTGAGTCACAAGTCGTTCTCGACGAATTACGATTCCATTAGAACAGCTCTGCATAATATATCTGTGTAAAACGAGAGAGGGGATGTCGTCTTACTCTCTCTCTCTCTCTCTCTTTGTGTCACACATACATTCTCTCTCTGCATCAGTTAATTTATTAGCAATCTTCTAGTAACAGTTATATACCTTTATATCAACTTCATATTCACCATCGAATATATTGTTCTTTGATAAAAAAAAAATAAAAAATCATAATTAATAATTATTTATTTACTTAGAGTATGAAAAGGAGTTTTTTTCGGAAGGCTGTGAAAAAAACAAAAAAAGAATATCTCAAGAAGATATTTTCAGTAAGGATGATTGCATAATGTTAATTAAATCGGCTAATAAAATTCTACACTCGTTTACTCGGATTGTTTTGCTATCATACATTGATCTAATAAAAAAATCTAAAGAGAAAGCTTTTGTACGGTTAACTGTATTAACTGTATGCACGTTTATATAAACATGTATTTATACAGGTATATATATATTTTTTATATAATCTTGAGAGACAACGTCAAACTTAATTATTGTCTTGATAGATTTTTAATACGTTAAATCTCTTAGCACACTTGGGAATTTTTCAGATATTTCCACAAGCGAGTATTTAATATGGAATATTATCTTCGAGTTACTATCAATAGCCGCAACGTGACTCGGCTATATCCAGCCCCATAATAGAATTTCCGTGTAAGCATCTTACAGGAAAAGGAAAATCTTTTCTTATTATTTTCTTTTAGTTGAATTGAGAAAATCGTAGATTGATTATAAACCATATTCCAACCATTTAATTCGTGAAAATATTTCAGGATTACGTTAGTTAAGTTCATATTTGCTAGAACACTTTTCAATCCTTTCGAAAATAACAAACCTCCCTTTCCCTAGTGTTGGCTAAAGTCTGGAATAAGGTATTTAACAAAATGGAAAAGAAAGAAAGAAAGAAAAAGATTAGTGGATTCTAAGAGAAATTCTAGGAAAGACAGTTACCGTCATAGAAAACGACATTAAAGAAAGAAAGAAAGATTTTTCAATTAGAACACACTGTGACACCTACACGTGCACAAACGCGCGCGCGCACTCACACACCAGAGTACTAGACATACTTAGGTAACACATAAAGGAATAAATAAAGAAAGAAAAGGCTAACGCGCGCGCAGGCAGGAAAGGAAAAAAAGACACAGACAAATAAGAACAAGAGAATCCATGTGTCTGCTGTGAGACATAAGGAAAACGTCTCAAACATTGGAGAGAGTAGTACTCGTAAGTAGAAGTGGCCAAAACGGCCAAGAGGTTAGGGACCAATCGTGGCCGTCGAATGGTCTCTCTAAGAGGTTGACTGAGAGAAGGGGTAAAGGGTAGGCGGCACGTGGATACCGATAGAAAGACAGGCAGACAGTCAGAGACAGAAAGGGAAGAAAGAGAATGAGAGAGAAAGCTTTAGGGTGAATTGGGAACTCAAGGAGGGTTGTTTTATCGAACACAGTGAGCCACACAGCCAACCTGGAAAACTCACTGAGGTTAATCTTGATCAGACAAAGAGACTTCTAAGAAATGTTGGAATTGTTTGATCCTAAGGACAAAGAAAAAGTAAGAACTAAAAGTGATTCTTAGATTTACTACCTTTATTGTTTTTAGACTAAAAAGAATTTAATAAAAGAAACATTTGTCTCTTTAATATGCGACAAAAAGTATTGCAGTTATTTGGTTACATTAATTTCGCTTATTTAGATTGATTTTTAAATAAATAATCGTGTATCATATATGTATGTTGTTTATAGGAATACGAACGATGCTTTATAACGAAGTCTAAGCTTAAACATATTCCGTGAATAGAGTATGCTATTAATATATTATAAAAATTAATATAAACGCTTTCATAGGACGAAAATAGAAAGGGTTTTGAACTCAGTATTTTTCTTTCTTTCAAACTCTTTCGATTATCTAAACTGTAACTAAATATCGAGTAAAGTAAAGGAAACTTAACAAGTTAACCCTCGTCTTGGCGGACGATGGAAACGTAGCGGTCGTCCCGTCTGACCGCAAACTGCTAGAGAATTGATAGTAACCTCGCATTTAATTATTATGCGGCTTTAGAATGTAGACCTCGACTCTAACGTGCGAATTAATACGCTAAATATGTTTATAGTTCGGTTCTCGAAAGAGAAACTTTCGTTCAATTGAAATTATTTGTTTTTGTTCTTTGATTTGAGATGGGGTATGAGGAGGGAAAGGGGTTTTTGTATCATTTTTTTGACTCGAATATAAAAACGTATACACATTGATGCTAATGGGTAACATAACGTTTAAGATTTAACAATTTGTATTTTACATAGTTCGAAGGTTGTTCTAAACTTTGCATATTCGATCGCAATATAAAACATCATAGACCTGCTTCCTACCAATCAGAAACGGTCGAGAAATAGCGTACATTGATTGGCGAACGTTTGCCATATTGCCACGCGCATGCCCGTTTTCTTCGTTCTTTATCGGCTACGTGATCATCCGTAGTAATTCGTCGAAACGACAATTTTTTTCAATAAAAGGATATATACCTATATCCTTTTCCTTTCTTTCTTTTTTTTCTATTTATCTTAAATATCGATCGAATATAATTAATTGTATTTTTCCTTCGTAAAAAAACATACGATCGTTTAAATATTCTTCGTATGATTATCTCCATTTTGATTTTGATTAAATATCATCGTAAAAAAGAAAAAAAAAACTTATCCTTTAACACGAGATAGATAAGATTTTAATGAACTTTAAAATTATGAAATAGGAAGGAATGTAATTAATTAAATTCTCACACGTTATCGAATGATACGCATACTTTTAGAAGGTTATTATTATTTTTAGATTATTACTTAGATTAAAGATAATTGTAATTAATTCAAGTAACTACTCGACCTCGATTTACGAAAAGCCATAATTATCCGTGAAAATGATTTCTTCCCTACCCTCTACCCCTCTATTCCAGCTGATTGATATAACACGCTTGATCGTAGATTATATGATTTTTCCTCCATCTTCGTTATGACGAAATTAGACCAGATAATTACGCAATTTTCAGATATGGTACCAATCGCGCAAGCCGTTCTTCGAAGAGACGTTGCTATTCGTGGAAACGTCTCTCGAGTTTCTAAGATCGTAGATAGATATCTTGTGACTGATATTATTAAATCGAAAGGTAAACGACACCAAAATTATCAGTAGGATGAGTACAGACGAAAATGGAATCAATATTTTTTACAATCTCACCGATGCTACTGTTATTATTGGGATATCATTACACTGTGCTACCTATATAAATTCAATAGAAAAAAAAATTATTCAATTAACGAAAGACAATGTATTCGTGTATTTGAGTTTGTAAAAAAATTCTTATTTAATATTTTTTAATTGCTGTTTAACATTTGCGAAAAAAAAATGGAATGAAAAAAGATGAACATCAATGATTTTCGCGACCTGACCTTTCTTTATTTATTTCTAAAAAAAAAAAAAAAAGAAAAAAAATAAGATAGAAAAAGTAACCTCGTTTACATTCAATAGAAAAAAAATTAATAAAATTAAAGACAACCAAGTATTTGTGTTTGTGGTTCGTATGTGTATAAAATTGTTATCCAATATCTATCAAACATTTGTGAAAATAAATTGAAGGAAAAATGTGTATAATAAAAATTAATAATTTCTACGATATTTGATTCTGCTATTTTCTAAAGAAAAAAAAAAAAGAAAATAAAACAAAAATCACGAGAATTCAAACAAATTAAATATTATCACATAATAAATTCGATCTAAGATAGAAAATGATAAATGTAACTTCGTTGAACGATATCGAAAAAATCCTAATCAAATTTCTATTAAATAAAGAAGAAGAAGAGAATAAGAAGAAAAATAAGAACTCTCTTTTTGGCGTTGTAAATTTGATCGACAATTTTCCATGCAAACCGTCTACAACATTGATTTATGTATCTCCGCGGTGATTCGAGCTTCGATCTTGTTTCTCGAACGTGATAATTTGACAGGAGAAGATGAAAGTTTCGGAAACCTTCTGCCGTTATATACCTTTGTTACATCGTAAATTTCGTATCGGATAAGATTTCGAGCTACCCTTGTATCCTAGAGAATAATCTCTAAATCCATCCCTCTCTCTCTCTCTCTCTCTCTCTCTCTCTCTTCCAGTGTAACACACACACAGTCTCACTCTCTCTCACACACAGACACACGTGCGCGCGTTCTTTATCTTTATTCCTCTCTCTCACTCTCTCGTTCTCTTTCTTTACAAGAACTTTACGATAATACGTCAAGAGCATTAGGCAGTATAATCCATCAGATCACGGCTATGGATGACCGTGAAAACGAAAATGGAACTTGTAATTACATTACACGATACGCCTGCCACCCCTCTTCTTTCCATCCCCGACAACTTTCTTAACCTCATCAATCCATTCTTTTCGAGGACGTTTAGGTATACGCAAGATAGCGTAGAGAATAAAACAAAAGACGAGAGAAGATTCTGTTCTTATCATATTTCATATTCTTTAATTCGAATTTGAAAAAAAGAGACAACGAATAAATAAACAGGAAGAAGAAGAAGAAGAAGGAAAAAAACGTTCTACGTTGGTTTAACGTCAAAAACGTTAAATTTAGTCGATGATTTTTGATAAATCATTTGAAAACATCCTCCTTGGCGTTATTTCACTCACCTGTACTCTGGCTTCCGTTAAATCTATTTTCATAGCTATCTCTTCTCTGGTGTAAATATCCGGATAGTGAGTTTCTTGAAAGGCACGCTCCAATTCTTTAAGTTGAGCTGACGTAAACGTCGTCCGTATGCGCCGTTGTTTCCGTTTTTCCGCTAGACCGTCGTGTCCCGTATACGGTTTGTATCCTAATCCTCCTAAAATTCAAAATGAAAATGATCTTTTACAATCGTCTGTTCGGAATATCTGATTTACTGTTTTTTTTTTAGAAAAATCGTTTTTGTACGCTCAACTATTCCGCCTTTTTATTTTTTTATTTTAAACAATTTTTTTCTATTAACGCAATTACGAGCAAACTTTTATTATACCCTGTACGTCTGCGTATCGTCCCAAGAAATTTGTTCGAAGATACATAGGTGTAAGTAGATATAGGGGAGAAAGGAAAAAGAAAATGAGAGAACAAGCGGTGGTAATGTAAAACGGTGTCTGACTACAGCCAGGTTCGTACTACTTAAAGTAGCAGATGGTTACGCTCCTACACCAGACGTAAGATTATTGAAACTCAAATTTGCATATATTCCAAAGAGAAACTTTGTTCTTACCAAAAAAAAAAAAGAATAAATCAATTCTTCATCGTGTTAACTAATTTTGGTTTTTTTAATTCGAATGAAATAACTCATTTCCTAAATCGTAGAAAGAGAGAGAGATCATTAAACGAAAAGTTACAAACGTTTGTATATTTAATATGTTTCATTCTGGGAACTTTAGGTATATCAAAGAATTATTTCTGATAAAGTTTATTCTAGAATAAAGAAAGAAAGAAAAAGTTTTTGATATAAAAAAGCATTGAATATACTTGACGCGTAACATTTCAAGATGGAACGATTTTACATGGTTGACTTAATATATACTGTCTCTCTCTCTTTTTCTCTTTCTTTCTCTCTCTCGATGAATTCCAAAGACCACGACGTCGAGGAACACTGTAAAATTTGCTGAGGGTGACTAGGAGGGACGTAACCATAGCAATGAGTGACCGAAGTAGGGAGGAGAGAGAGGGAAAGAGAGATGTCCATTGATTTTCAGTGCCATCTTGTCGCCGCTTCTGGGAGAAGTACCGGTTTTAGGGTATACATGGCGTAAAGGGCTGCACACACGCCCACCTTGCATTTATAAGTCATTCAAACGAGAGAATTTCTTAGAACGTAGTAATAAGTAGCGGGAAAGAACGAACGAGAGAAGAAAAGAAAGAAAGAAAGAAGGAACAAACAAGAATCGGCTATTATTTTTATTACCTTTATTCATCTTTACGGCAAGTGTTTAAAAAAATTTTGTCCTTTTCTCTATATTTGAAATATTCATTCGAGAAAAACCTACAATGTGTATTTATCTATTATATTCGATAAGGCAACGGGTAAGATCTTTCTATATACACACATACTTATATCTCTCTATAGTCCCTAGTTGATTTTAGCGATCTTCAACCCAGTATTATTCCACGACAGATGTCAGAGAGAGAGAAAGAGGATCTTCTACTTCGAGAATAACAAATATTCGGAGTACTAGAAAAACATGTCATTCACATATAGTAAGTACTACATTTCGATCATGTCCTCTAACATAATATTTGCATTTTTAACAGTGTTATAAAATAAAGAAAATATAAATAACTTCTTCAGAAGCGATAACAAGAGAATGAAATCGTTCTATTCGTTTTTTAAGATACTCGAGATTAAAAAGAAACTAAAGAGATTTCAACTCACCTTGGAGATTGATAGCGGAAGGAAAGATGGAGGCAGCGTGTCGATGAACATCCTGCGATCTAGCAGCCATTACGGAGCACGGAGTCGCATGGGCCCCATGATGTGGATGAGCATGAGGATGTGAGGCATGATGGGCCCCGAGTGGACCCGCACTTCCCCCTCCGCTGGCCGAACCGGCATTCGTCGAGTATCCGGCGGCCCTTGCTGCCGTGTACCGATACGCCGCTTGGCTCATTTGCGAACACGAGCTCAAATCCCCATAACCGCATTGCATCTCGCTCGCGGCTAACGCGCAACTTGACGCTTCGAAACCGGCGGCCGCGGCAGCCGCAGCTTGATTCAAATACGAGTAATCCATTATTATTTTATATTTTCTCTCCTTTTTATCCGATTATAATCACACTGTTCTTTATTTTCAGCTCTATCTCTTTTTCTCTCGTTCCGATAAGAAGACAGAAGAATAATCGTTCGAACGAGCACCACTTTCTTCTTCAATCCTTGAAAGGAAATGAAACCCTTTCTTCTCCCATTCTACTTTTTAAAAATTCTGATCGATCGTTAAGGAGGATCGATCCAGTAAATCACGGGTATTATTTTCACACTGTGAACATTTACGATTACTTAAAATGTGTATATATCACGTAACGTATACGGCCTTTGGACAAGAAGATTGTTATTTAGATTGCGCGGGAAAAGTCGTGAACTCAAAGATGTGCTCGAAGGGAGCGCGCCTTTCGGCGCGGGCGCGCTCCTGCGACGGCAAAGATGACGACGGCAAGGACGATGTCGAACATAAATTGCAGAACCAGGTGGGATGAGAAAAGACCCTTCTCCTTTTTCCCCGGTACTTCAGATCTAACCAACCGACCGACCGACCGACCGACCGACCGACCAACCAACCAACCGACCGACCGATTATCCGACCCCCCTTCACTAAGCAATGTCTACGAAATATCAAAGCGCGTGGCTTTCACATCGGATAAGTCGTCGGTTAAGACGATATCGTATAAGGCCGTGGGCTAACGGCTGGAGAACGATCTTGGCTTCGATGTTAGCTTCGACGAGCGCAAAACGGACTTCTCTTCTCTTTCTCTCCTTGCCTTTCACCTCACCTCACCTCTCCTCTCCTCTCTTCTCTCTCCTCTTCGACGCCAAGTTATGACGCGTAATCGGATCAACGATATCAAATTATTGCGATTATAGCACGGATAGGAGGAAGTTTTTCGGCCCGTTTAAGAGCGTCCGAGACGACTGACTGGTGGGTCTCCTCAAAATCAAATGATAAGCTTAATTCGATAAACGACGGAGGGGCTGCGCTAGGGGCGGGTTCACCCCTATCTTCGACACACCGTTGGCAAGGTCACCGGCCTCGGACCTACCTTTCGAGCATTCTCATTCGTTCATCCTCCCAACCATCCCCAGAACAACCCTCAACCTTCCCAAACACGCCCCTTAGTTACCGTCCTCTCCAGCTACATCCCCCACCATCACCAACAACACCACCACCATAACCATATCCACTACCACTACCATCGCCATCCTCCGTCACATCCTGCGAGACTACCATACGGATAAGAGAAGGAAAAAAAGCAAGAGAGAGAGAGAGAGAAAACGTTATCATTCGATGATGCCTTCCTGTGCTCCTGATTTTTCGATCAATTCGAAAGACCGCATAACGTCCGACTTGTACATTTTCTACTCACTCTTTCTTTCCTTCTTTCTTTATTTCGACCTATAGAATCGTTCTACTATGGACCAATCGGTACAAGTTTCATTTTCTTTGCTATATATATATATATATATTTTTTCTTTTCCTTTTTTCTTTTTTCTTGATTTATTTATTTATTTTTTTTTTTACTTCCTTACGCTCAACTACCTTTCGTCACCCGACCGATCATCCCCATCATGACGTTCATTTGTTGTCCGAGTTTTATTTCATACATTTTTGATCATGGATTTTTCCGACCAAAGCGTAGCACCAAATCAAGGTATCGTAATCTACATACGATGTGTTTATTCTCCTGCACAATTGCAAATCGGCTCTCGATTAAAATTCATATAACCAAACTGTATCATTTATTCGAATTGTAGATTATCAATATTTTCCTTCCTCATTGTTGGGATCTCCAAGCTTGCGTCGCGACTTCTTCTCTCTGCGATACAAAATACACGTTAATCAATATATTCGTTGAAATAAACATTTGAATTAGCATCGGAGAGAGAGAGAGAGAGAGAGGAAAGTAGTTATATATTTTTAAAAAAAATATCATAAAATAGGAACTTTTAATGTATTTATAAACCCGATGATGCTTTTCAAACGACTAAATATTGCTTTTATAGATACGAAACGGCTACCGTCGGCAACTTTTGCGTTTGGTAAATACGATCGCCATTTTATTATCCTTTTTAAATACCAAATTCATTTTGATTATATTCAACGTTATTTTACCAAAGAATTTTATTATAACACTTATTTGTTTTAATTCATTTTAAAAAATCTTATTTATTGGTATACAATGTCTAAAATGACTTGTTTTTTTTCGTATATTTTCATTAGAAGAAATATTTGAAAAGAATATTTTGTCAAAGTTATGTCAACTTATACGTGCAGCCGTGATATGGAAAATTCTTTCTACTGTTGTCTATACTAGACTATTTTATTTAGGTCGAGACTAGGAACCTGTGCGACACTTGTATTCCACTTGTTCTCACGACAGTTGAGAATCATTCTACCCTCTTTTTCCTGAATCCTATCCCAAGGGGTTTCCGAGTTCACGGAACGTGTGCGACACGTTGCCATACATCGTTGCAGAATCTATCCATTGGCGTATATTCCTATATGTGTAATTTAATAATAAAAAGCCATAAAAAATGGTTTTTCTACTAAAGTGATTTACATTTTTCCTATATTAAACATTGAGAAATAATTAAAAATTTTTAATATTTATAATAATAATTTATTGCATTCACTTTTCATAAGTTTTATCTTTCTCGATTATAATAATATTTCGAACAATATTTTATTGTAATCACTTGTTTATAATAGTTGAATTAAAGTGAATAATATATTTAATGCAACACTTGATATATGTAAATATTTACTGTATATTATAAACAAGTGATATTTAATAAAATACGCCAATGTATAAATATAGCTGGTTACGCGTGCAAGATCTGTACAAAAACAAGAGGGGGTAAGAGTACATTCTTGTCACCGTTTATGTATACGTATATAAATACATATATATGTATGGGTAGAGCAACCCCTTGACAATTCCTACATATGTCCTTGATTTGTCCAGAGAATAATATTCCCTTGTAAAGTTGATTAAATATTGGTTAGTGATTCGTACACCCTTCGAATATCATTTTTCTTCTACCCCACTGATTGATATTTTCCTTCGAGATGAAAATATGAAGAATAGTTTTTGAAAATCAGTAAAGATTTAATACAAACATAATTCGCGAATCAATTTTTAATTATTTTTTCATTCTTACTATTCGTACGTTATCTGTATTATAAATATGTAGAAAATGAACACTTTTGAAAATTAATAATAGCATAATTTTCTAATCTACATTATCTTTCGAATAATTATTAGTTACCGACGGATATGCTCTTACCGACATTGTTTATAATATATCGATGTGTACAAACACATTACCAGAATACTATTTTACCGACAGATGGAAAAGTAATTAATCAAAATTTTCAGTAGATAATATCGCGAATAGTTGAACGACTTACCATAAATATTTATTCAACGTATCTTTATCGAATGAAAGTAAAATCGTAATAAAAAAAATGCGTTGCATAATAATACGAAATAACAAAGTAAAACAATTGAAAAAATGTATCAAAAGTAAGGCTATAAAATTCATATTAAAAATGTTCTCATAACCTAAATCCATGAAGTATATTAATCTAAGTATTGATAAAGGAACGATAGTTCATGACAGTAAGTTAACGACGATAATACGATCGCACCTTTAGGAATTTCACTGAGTGAGCGAATTTGGATAGATGCATTAGTTCGTTTGGATAACGCAACGGCGAGTAGTAGACGACGCGGTCAGCAACAGGGACGCATGCGCAATAATTAGACGTCATAAAAGAGATAGACAATACGTCATTCCTTGTTCTTTCCGCTCGATATAGATATATACACGGTAGTCTGTCGTCTCGGAGTAAGTACACGTAGGGAGTGAGTATCGGGGAGCCTCCATTATTATAGTAAAAACCGGTAGAAACCGTATGGTTTGGTGTGTACTTATTAAGAGAAAGAAAGAAGAAGGGGTGTTAGTTCGTCGTACGTTTGGTGTGTTAACAATAACGCGGGGCGGGGCTACTTTGTAACGAAATTTTTGACATTAATCGCGCGCCGTTATTTCTCGACAAAATGAATTGAGTTTTTAACCGAGCGCTCGTTTTTTTTTACCTCTAAGCAAGCATTCCTTATCTCTTATTATTATTATTATTATTATTATCATTACTCTTCTTCTTCTTCTTCTTCTTCGTCGTCGTCGTCGCGTTAGTTTGGAATTTGACAAGAGAACGAAATCATGGAGGACGATCTGCCAACCGAGTACGATGTTGTAGTTGTTGGAACAGGTATTGATTTTTGTCCTCTTTTTCCTTTATCTACATTTTAATCCACTGAATGCAATTTAAATAGGACATTTTCATAACTATCATCATTGCTATAATCATAAAAAATAATAATCGTCGTCGTACTTTCGTTCGTACCTCAACCGGCATAATGACTTTTGACAGGTATGACGGAATCGATCGTTGCCGCGGCGGCCAGCAGGATAGGCAAAAAGGTTTTACATCTGGACAGGTGCGTCCTCGGCCACTTCTTTCATGCCTTTTTTTTTATCTTTTCATTTTTATTTTATTAATATCCTTAAAGCATCATCCGAAATTAATTCTTATATTTTAGATTATTTTATAGATAAAACGTTTTCATTTTCTCGACGTTTCGATCATATACGTATACATATATATATATATATATATATATATATATAGATAATGTGTCTCTATACTGTACAATAAAATTGATTATTATTTGCTTTTTTATCCATAGATAATTTATTTTGTTTTTTAAATCCTATTTTGAATTTTTTATAATTATATTATTATTTCTTTATATGAGATATTTGTTAATCCTTTATTCACTATAGATGCACATATGTATTTGCTAAAAGTTGCCAACGTGGACTATGGATGCATTTATACGAATAAAAAAATACAATGTCAGTCAGAGTACTGATAATTGTTTGGAATCTTAGAGTATTAAAATAATACTTAACAAATTTCATTTAATTTGAGAGAATAATAACAAATATAATTTATTGTTAGCTACGCTTAGTATAATCAAGCAACAGAATTCATATTAGCAATAAAGTATTCCCTGTCTCTGCAAAACATTTCAACTAAGAGTATTCAGCATTAAGGGTTAATAATTCTTTTTCTCTTTTCTTTTATATGTATACATATACAATTTGTATAATAGCAACGAATATTATGGCGGACTTTGGGCAACATTTAATTTTGATGGCTTACAAAAATGGATAGAAGATCTAAAAACTGCCAAGAACAATACAAGAGATACTAAAGTTGATTTAGAAGACGGACAAATATTTTTAAAGGCTAGTGATCAATATTCAGCTGTTGAGAATATCGAAGAAACTTGGTATATTTCAAAGTAAGTTAACATAGTACGACAATTACTTATAACGCATCAAATTATTGTAAAATAATAATTTAAATTTTATATTAAGTGATGCAGATCTACCTGTTCTATCCTCAAAAGATACGCAGACAGATGGAACTGGAGATAGCGTTGGTAACGAAGGCGCAGAGAAAACTGATGAAGATAACACAGAGAAAAAAGAAATTGTCAAACATTGGAGTATAGATCGCATAAAAAAAGAATACAGAAGATTCAACATTGACTTGGCACCAAAAGTAAGTTATTCCTATAAATAAAGAATATCTTAAATATAAAAATAACATTGTTATATAATTTACTTTTAAACTCGTGAATTTTTCTATTTATTACAGTTACTATTCGCACGTGGTAAATTGGTCGAATTGCTGATCTCAAGCAATATTGCACGTTATGCAGAATTTCGTGCAGTATCCAGAGTTGCTACATACATGGATGGCAAATTAACTCAAGTTCCATGTTCACGCGCAGACGTATTCGCTAATAAAACTGTTAGCGTCATAGAGAAGAGAATGTTGATGCAACTTTTAACATCTTGTATGGAACAGGGAGCCGATAGCCCAGAGTTTGATGGTAATTACATCTGCCTTTTTTTTTTTTTTTTTTTTAACAAACAAGGCTACGTACTTCTCTGGATTTGTTTTATTCGCTGATTCATAACATTACACGTAGAATATCCAATAGAATAAAAACGATTTGCTTTGTATTCCACTTGTGACATATTGAATGACTAAGTAATTGAGATACCTACTTAATATTCTTTGCAGTATAAGATGGTATATAATATACCTTTGGTACTCCTTGGAAAGGAAACTCATTTATAAATCATTTTTCATTTCAAATCATATTTGATTTCTGTTCTATATATAACAAGAAAATGTCATATAATTTACAATATAATTATCCGTTTGTTGAAACAAATAATTTTCTCCCAACAGGTTTTCGCGATAAGACATTTTTAGAATATCTCAATACAAAAAATCTTACCCCGATAGTACAGCACTACGTTGTGCAGGCCATCGCTATGGTAACAGACAAAACATCTTGCAGAGATGGTGTTAATCGCACAAAGCATTTCCTTAACAGTCTTGGACGTTATGGAAATACTCCTTTCTTATGGCCTATGTACGGTAGTGGAGAATTACCTCAATGTTTCTGCAGGTAACTATTAAAATATTAACAACATCAAAAAAACATGTAAATGCAAACAAGAAACATAATTCTGGTTAATTAAAAATGATAACAATTTTCAGATTATGTGCTGTATTTGGTGGAGTATATTGCTTGAAAAGACAGTTGGATGGCGTAGTAATTAATGAAGATAAATGCAAAGCTATTATAACTGGAAAACAGAGACTGGCTTTGGAGCATTTAGTTGTAGGACAAGGACACTTGCCACCAGAAATTGTAGCTTTTGAGGGTGAACAACAAATTTCCCGAGGAATTTTTATTACAGATAGGTATGATTTTATTGATCATTTTATTTGCAATGACTTTAATGCATTTAAATTTTTTAATTATATATAATATCTTTTTATTAATTATAATATTTTCTAGGTCAATTATGCAAGGAGAAAAGGAAAATTTAACTCTTTTGTATTATCCACCGGAAGAGCCAGGACAAGAACCTGTTACTTTGATCGAATTGGGACCATCTACTAATGCTTGTCCACAAGGTTTATGTACGTATTTTGATAATTCAAAGAATATTTGAATTCTTATATTTATTTTGAATTACATTATTTTTTTAAATATTATATTTTCTTTTAGTTATGGTTCACATGACATGCAAACGTACTAAAACGGCAAAGGAAGATTTAGAATACATGGTAAAGAAATTTTTGAGATCTGAAATGGTAGAACCTAGTCTTGGACGTAGTTCAACAGATTCTCATACTCAAACAGTTTCACCAGATAAACGACACCTGCAGGTAACAAATATCCTCAAAGTATTCTATACAAATGAGTTTTACTAATCCTTGTTTAGGGCTAACAGGAAAAAGAATCCCTAGCCGTAATAATACAAAACTTAAAATAAATATTTGACTATTTGTTTACTTTAGGAAGGTAATCAACAAGATTATGAGCCAAATGAGGAAGATTTAAAACCCCAAATATTATGGTCATTATACTTAAATTTACCAGCAAGCGACATCAAATTAAATGATACAGCACCGAGCAACATATATTTGTGTTCTGGACCGGATTTGGAATTAGATTTTGACTTTGCAGTTGATCAAGTATGTTTAATTTAAAAATATGATGAATATAATAAATGATGAATAATTATTTATAAAATAATTTGTGTTTGTTTTCTTTAGGCAAAGGAAATATTCAAATCCATGTATCCGGATGACGATTTCTTACCACGTGCACCGGATCCAGAGGAAATAGTTTTAGAAGGTGACGAAGCACCTGGACCGAAATTCGAAGGAGATACGCAAGTAGACGGAGAGGAGAAACAAGATGTTGAGAAGGCAGAGAAGGAAGAATGAAATAATTAACATATTGCTTCAACAGTGTTACAAGAGAAAATAAGGCTTGCGCCCTTAGTGTCTTCTACCTTCATCGTTATTACGTTTCACTTATATATTCAAGAAATAGCCGGTTCACCATTCATGTAAGAGTAGCAAATACAAGCAAAAATGGCTTTAGAGAAATGTTACTATCCCATTTTTAAAACTGAGTTTATACATTTGTCAGATTTCACTCCAAGTCCAGTTTTTAAATGATAGATTTTGCCATTACATGCTTTTGCATTAATTCATCTATAAGATTAATCTTTAAGATTAATAAAAAAAATATAAATAAAATACGAAATACAATATACAAAAATTAACCCAAAAATGGATAAAAATAATAAGAAGAAACCATAGAAATGTCAATATATAATGATGATGCATGTAAAGGAGAAGGAAGAAGTCTCAGGCACGCTCCTTTTTGTGAACACAGTGACGAGTATTGGACAGTACATGATCGTATCACCCGATAAGTGTCAAAATTTACGGTTGCATTTATATTCGTACTTATTGCCATTATTCGAATTGACATAATATAAGAATGTAGTGAGTCAATACCATGCATTTAGCTGAATACCACCTTGCCACTCTCTTTATACGTATTCCATTTTTTATTGTTTGTTTCCATTTGTTTTCACACAATTTCTTTTTATATAACAACGGGTTATTGTTTCGTTATTAGATCAAACTTATTGTGTACGTACTTATATATGAGATTTTATTATTATTATTATTATTATTATTATTATTATTATTATTATTATTATTATTAATATTATTTGTATTTGTACGTTATCATGCTATACGTGCAAACAAAAGAAAATCTTATCGATAACTGTTAATCGTTTATAAGAGCCAATTGTAATCAAGGCTGTGAAGAAGTAACATTCTTTTCTAAGTATTTTATTAATAATTTTTAAGATTCTCCTTTTTTGATCATTAGAAACTTCATTATAATGTATCACACGTTTAACGATTTAAATTATTTTTATTCCTAGTTTTCTTTTTTTTTTAATTTATATTTATTTTGTTTTTCTTTCTTAATTTTACAAAGATTTAAACAATTCTCTATTATAATAAACCCCAAAGAAAGTAGTTCATGTGCTCATCTTTGGCCTCGCAACTTTTAAATAGACGATTTGCTGTAAGATGAATTTACTAAAAAAGAGAAAAAAAAAGTATTAAATTCATTGAAATTTATGTTTCTAAGCTCTACAGCATAATATATCTTGTATCGTTGCATACAACAGCCTAACTGGATTCATGTATAAACCCAGTTTCTTCAAATGCTTTATAATACTCATATTTATTTATATTTGACATTATATATTACACAGTGCATAAAAAATACACTTAAAATTAAGCGAAGGTACGTCAGC